CTCCCGCCCCTCCCACTCCTCCTCCCCCTCAACCCCACCGCCCGACCCAGCCCGCTACGCAATGGGCATAACCCTCCTCCTGCTCTCGCTCCTCCTCACCGGCATCCTCGGCCTCCTCCAAGAGCGCGCCTACGCCAAATACGGGCCGCACTGGCAAGAGGGCGTCTTCTACACCCACGCCCTCAGCCTGCCCCTGTTCGCGCCCTTAGCGCCGAGCGTGATGAGCGGGCTCGTGAGGCTCGGGAAGAACGGCGGGTGGATGGCGTATGCCGTTCTGGGCGCAAACCTGCTCAGCCAGCTCGCGTGCGTGAGCGCTGTGAACCGGCTGTCGTCCGTACGTCCCCTCTCCCTCTACCCCTCAGTCTCTTTGAACACGCTCACCGACATCTTGCACCAGCGCGTATCGGCCGTGTCGACCCAAGTCGTCCTCACAGCCCGCAAAGCGCTCTCCCTCTGCCTCTCCGTCTGGTGGTTCAACAACGGCTGGAACGCGCAGCTCGCGATCGGCGCGTCGGGCGTGTTCGTCGGGTCCGCGTGGTACGCGCTCAGCCCCCAGCCCGCTGCGAGCCGCCCGCAGCCCGCGACGACTCCTCCGGCTGCTTCTCATGAGAAGAGGGAGGCGAAGGCGCCGCTAGACGCGAAGGTCGAGCGCGTTGCGCCGGAGCGGCCGGCGAATGGCGCTGCGAATGGGGCGGATCCGCAGGCTAGGAAGGCCGCTCGTAGACGACGCAAAGCCGTATTGTAGAGTTACCCAATCACTCCATATAGCGCTCAAACTCACTGTTGTACAATTGCTTTGATCGATCCTATTCAACCCCGCACGTCACTTGTATCTCCATGCCGGCGTCGTCGCCTGTCGTCGTTCAGTCCAAATCAACCAAACCGCATTCAATTCCACTACTAAATTAGATACACGCCAACCGCTTGTCCAAATAGTCCCAAAATTCATGAGCAGTCCCGTACAGTATATACGATTCGAATGGTACCGGTCCGAAGACCGTACGAGCAAAAATAGTTTGCATTAGGGTTAGGGTTAGCCCAACGTCCGAACGGGTACGCGCCCGATTCCAGTTATACCGAAACACCAGTACGCCAGCTACACGCCCGTATGTCCCACCAACGCACTCAGCAGCATCCGAAGACGAGATGTTAGAGTCAGTATGAGCAAGGGGAAGAGAGCGACCAGCGCCCGCGGTGTCAAAAGAGAAAAAGTGCTGCGGCGCCCATCCGATCCCGCCCCAACACTCTCCCGCGCGGCCTCAGCGGCCTCCAGAGACGCGCGTAGAGCTGAAGGCAGAAGAGGACTGGAGCCGAGCGTGCGAATGTGGAGGGAAGGAAAGGAGGGGAAAAGGCGGTTGACAGTGATAGACGGACCTGGACGTGGGCGGGCGGGCGCGAGGGGTGTGCGCTGCTGAAAGAAGAGCGAATGGTGTGAGATGGGAAAGAGAGGTGGAGATGGAGACGTACCGCGGAACTTGGCCGGCGAGCGAATCCTTGACCGGCGAAGGGAGACGGTGTACCGAAAAGGCGGGTCAGCATAAAGATACTGACGTGGGCGATGCACAGAACAGAAAGGGAAAGAAGAGCGACCAGCGCCCAAGCTGCGGCGTCGATCCGCGCCCACCCCAACACTCTCCGCGCGCGATAGTGGCCCTCTGACGCGCGCGTAGAGCTGAAGGCAGCAGGACTCGCAACCGAGTGGGAGGTGGGTCAAAGGAGACGAACGCACATAGATGTCTGACTCTGAGAACGGTCGGAGGAACGTGGAGTGAAGATGCGGGGTACTGTGCGGAGAGTCAGAGAGGCACGTAAGGACAAGGAGGACGCGCACCAAGGACGACGATAGTAATGGCCACGACGCCAATCTCCTTCCCCCCAACACCCTCCCGCGCGACCTCAGGGGCCACAGAGGCGCGCGTAGAGCTGAAGGGGAAGAAGACCGGAACCGAGCGTGCGAAGAGGGAGGAGGAGGAGGGGAGGGGAGGGAGGGCGAAGACGCCAGACGAGACGCACCAATGGGAAAGAGAGCTCAAGAAGATGCCATCTGCAGGTAAGTGGACGTGCGGGAAAGGTAATTGTCAGAAAGAACATAGCGTATGGCGGCTTGAGCGGGTCGAACGTTTGAGTGTTGAGTCTGAAAGTCTGTAAGCAACTGAACGACAGGCATCCAAAGCAAATGACGTACTGAAGAACGTGCGGAGAGGCGAAGGGGCCGGAGGTTGCGAGCTCGGAAGAAATGATAGTCAGCACCAGAAGACGCACAGAGGAGGTATCCGGGAGAAGGAACTCGTAGCGATAGGCGTCTTGAGTCTTGAGCTTAGGCGGCTGAGATGCGAGGCGAAGGCGGCAGGCTAGCTTGTGTGTCGGTGATGAGGCAGATGCTTAGAGATGTGTGACCACGTCCAAACCACCACGCGAGCGTTACGCTGGCCCAAGTGACCCCCGGAGAGGACTCCTAGACCCCCTGGGTACCAGCGCCAATCTTGCGGGCGAGCTTGCCTAATGTGCGGCCGAGAACCTTGGAGGAAGCGGGAGTGCGGAGAGAAGTCGCAGCCGGAGCTGCTGTGGCGGGACGCTGCAATCTGTGAGGACACGCGTCAGCAAGGTAGTACCTAGAAGAGACTGA